TTTATTTCTGCCCTTGCCAGTTCGGTTCAGTGCACAGAGCATTGGTCCATGGACTGAAATATCTCCAGTTCCATTCAAGGGCACGCACCTCAATCCCCAGCCCAGGCCGGGGTACTTGTGGGAGGCAACCAATCGATGTGTCTTTCTCACGTCAAAGTTTCTCTCTCTCTCTCCCTCCCCGTTTCATTCTCTAAAAAACCAACGAAAAATATTCTCAAGTTAAGGATTAACAACAACAAAAATTATTTACTTCTCCTCTCTTGCTGATTCTAACTTACATTTTTAACATAAATTCATATAAGATATTTTAAATTGATAAATTCCAAAGGGAAAATTTTTATACATTTTTGCTGACATTATTTTAGATTCCTTTGAAATAATAAAAGAAGAATTTTTTGTTCTCTTTGATAACTCAAATTTTCACCCTTTGGTGGCCCATATTGATTTTTCCCATAATGATTTTCCCAGCCATATATGGTATTGTTCTGGGAATTTCTAGAAATCAAATTCAAGGCAACAAACATAACTATGCTCATCCTAAATCAATTTAGAAACATTCATGTGTGATTATAAAGGTATCCTTGAATTGACACATATAAATGGAATCATTCTGCCATTTTAAAATATGGATACAAAATTATATGATCCATTTTTTTCTGATCCATATAGAGAACTATAGGGGAAGAAGTAATAAAATAAAAAATAAAAATTAAAAAAATTTAAAAAAAAAAACAAGGAAAAGAAATCCTAAGAGAAAGAAACCGAGAATTTAACAGTTTTACTTAAGGAGTTAACTCTTAATTACACCTCTAATTAAAAGAGCTCTACATTTTTTTCTATTTTCTGATTAATGCCATAAGTATTTAGTTATCTTTTTTCTCTTCAATAATAGATGGTAGGTAGATAGATAGATAGATAGATAGATAGATAGATAGATAGATAGATATAGATAGATAGAATTGTTATTTTTAATATTCAATACTGGCATTTTTCTAAATCAAAAGAGCTCGCCTGGCCAGCATGGTTCAGTGGTTGAGCATCCACTTTTGAACCAGGAAACCAGAAGATGGTGGTTCCAGTCCTGGTCAGGGCACAGGCAGGGTTTCAGGCTCAATCCCCAGCAGGGGATGTGCAGCAGGAGGCAACCAATCAATGATTCTCTCCAATCATTGATGTTTCTCTCTCTCTCCTGTCCCCTTCCTCTCTGAAATCAATAAAAATGTATTTTGAAAATAAAACAAAAGAGCTCAATTGATATGTTTGTGTGAGTGTATACACAGAATTCACAGATACAATGACCTAACATCTATGGAAACTTTTCCTATTTTAGAGGATGGATATATATATATATATATTGACATTCTCCTTTCTTTTTTCCCATTTTTTTAAATACTTTTTAAATTAAATTTATTGGGATGACATCTATAATAATAAATGCACAATATGCTAATTAGACCGAATGACCTTCCAGGCGAAGCTGGGGCGGAGAGGGAAGTCAGGGTCCCGGGTGCCAGCAGTCGGGGGAAGGAAGGCCTACTCTTGCAGGAATCCTGGTCAGGGCATTTCATGCAACGAGCCTCTAGTTGGTAAATAAGATTATATAGGTTTCAGCTGTATATTTCTGTGTGATCCATGACATGTATATTGCATTGTGTGCTGGCCACCCAAAGTCAAATCTTCTTCCATCACCATATATTTGACCCCCTTTGACCTTTACCCTCCATGGTGATCTAGTAACTAAAATTTGGTGCTTCCACCTACATTTTTCTTTCATTGTATATTATGTCTTACACTGAATTTATATAGATGAACTCCCTCCTACTTATTTCTTTATAAAGATGCCATCATTCTCACTGTTACTGTCTCCTAATAGCTAGCATCAAGAAAGCACTAGTCTCTCCCAGGCAGTGCGGCTCAGTGGCTGAGAGCCTATCCATGAAACAAGATGTCACGGGTGTGATTCCCGGTCGAAGTACATGCCTGGGTGCTGGCCCGATCCCCTGTGGGGACATGCAGGAGGCACTGATAGGTTTTTCTCTCTCATCGATGTTTCTATCTCTCTATCCCTCTCCCTTCCTCACTTTCTAAAAATCAATAAAAACATATTTTAAAAAAGCACTAGTCTCGCCGAAACCGGCTTGGCTCAGTGGATAGAGCATCGGCTTGGGGACTGAAGGGTCCCCGGTTCGATTCCTGTCAAGGGCATGTACCTTGGTTGCGGGCACATCCCCAGTAGGGGGTGTGCAAGAGGCAGCTGATCGATGACACTCTCTCATCGATGTTCCTAACTCTCTATCTCTCTCCCTTCCTCTCTGTACAAAATCAATAAAATATATATTTTTTTTAAAAAGCACTAGTTTCTACTTTTAAGACAAATATCTGCTTACTAGTGAGGAGAACTTTTAGCAATGAAGTAGCTAAACATATATCACATGTCCTGGTCTTAATCCATCAAGCATTACACATACCTTTGGCACATCTCTATTGATTTTGGGTACAGTTCTATAAAAGTCAAGTAAAATAATATTTCACTGAGTTCCTGGTCATAAAGCAATGTTTCTACTACATAAAGTTGAAGTGGCCTTTCCTTAAATCATATCATTTCGTTTTGTGTTTAAGGAGCTTGACCAAGCATTACATCTTAATAAAGTAACATGTATTATGGTTGGTTCCTTTAATACATTTAAAAATACAACAGCGAGTGAATAAAGTAATTTTACATATCTGTTTTTAAAAAGTATAAAATAACTTTTTAAAGTAAACCTACTATTCAGGGTATTTGACAAAATCATTTAACATCTGTAGTATAAAAATGTATTCAGATTGCTTGTATATCAAGCTGTTAATGCATGGCTTAATAGTGAAAATTATATTATTCAGAAACATGCCTTTAATTTATAAGAATTATATTTATAATTAATTTGCATTTATTGTCTTAAAATTTTTTTAATGATAACTTTTTTTCTTGCCTTTAAACATTATTCTCAATATTTACATTCTAATGATGCACATGGTTTTTCTTGGTATGATTAAACTAAAATATCTTTAAATTATAAAAACTGTTTTGGAATTAAAATCATATATCCTATCATATGTGGGATTTGATATTAATGAGATTAATGCATTGTATCATAAAGAATGATGACTTTAAACTCTATCTCCTTTTTGTTTCTTTTCTGAATAACAAACTTATATTCTAGAGTACTCAACTGAACACTCAAAGTGTATCCACACATTTAAATAGTAACATCAAAAATTTACAGATGTTGATAATGTCTTGGACGAGGTTATAAGCGCACATGTATATTCAATTGTTGAAAGTTCACTGAGCTGTATTATGTCTTGTTTATTTTCCTATACTTCATTTACCTGATTAAAAAGGTGGGGTTTTTTTTTAATCAAAACTGTTACATCCTATATAAGTTGTCTTCTAAGCCTTCTTATACCAATCAAACATTAACTTTACTCAATTGTCTATGAGTCCAGGCACATAGTGGAAATGAAGTGAGCCGGACAACTGATAGAAGAGTGCTGTAGCCTGTGATAAGCTAGGAAAGATGGACCCAGTCTGCAGGGTACAGATGCTATTCAGCACCAAGGAATGGTTGCCATATGGGACTGTGGGTCTGGTGTTGCCAAGTCTGGAAATTTGAATTTTTTTATGTCAAATTTATATTTTTTTAATGCTGGCAACTGATTCACTTTTATAAACACCATCAGCCAAACTAAATATGTCTTTGACCAAATAAGCTGCCATAATGATCACCTCCCTCCCCGAGAAGGACCTCCTAAATCTGAGTCCAATTAAAATACTTTTCCTTTGTACTGCTGATACTGTGACTATGTAGGAAAGCCAACAGTCAACATTTGGTCTGATTTCCTAACCCACACGATGTATGTGTAGTATAATATACTGCCTATAAATATGTGCATAGACCTCAGGACACAGATAATATCCCCATTTTACTGATGTGTGATTTAGGGCCCAAAAGATATAGCAAACAGATAACAAAGAAATTCACAAAGTTATGGCCTATGTTAGATGACCTGAGTTCAAATCCTTCCTCCAACACTCACTGTTTTTATAACTTTGACAAGGTAAATTAACTTCCCGAGAGCACATAGAAATGTGTCTGGCACATAGTAAGTGCTATGTAAGTGCTATATAAGTAATTATTATTAATAATTATTTATTGCTATTAATATTATCTGTAAAATGAGATGCTTTCTTTTTATTAGTTTTAAATGAACTAATTGATGTCAAGTGCTTAGATTGTGCCTGGGACATAGTTAATGTTGTTACATGTTAATTATGTGTCTGTTTAATTCTCTTTCAAATCCATTTACCCCTAAACCATGGAGATTAATTCCTTTACTCTGTGTTGGGCAATAATAAACATTGGTCCTATTACAGACTAAAAGTATTTACACTTGTTCAAAGTGTTTTCCTTAGAGTTTAAAATAATACACAGCGTTGTAGTGCCATGATTATTGCAATGTTTATTTCATTTGAAAATGTGTAGTGAAATCAATCATATGCTATGTAATGACTGTCCAGATGAGGATTTTAATAATGTAATAAAATATTATTCAACCTACCAGAAATGGTTACAATATTCAGAAGACACTTTTTAAATTAGGTCTTCTCCACCTCTTCTAATTCCCCTAATTTTTAAAAGCTTGAGCCCAAAGGGAAAAAATATATATGCTCCCTGGCCAGGTGTCTCAGTTGATTGGATCAATGTCCTGTACACCAAAAAGTTGCTGGTTCAATTTCCCATCAGGGCACATACCCAGGTTGTGGTTTAGATGCTGAGTTGGTGCATACAGGAAGCAACCAATCGGTGTATCACTCTCACATCAATGTTTCTTTCTCTCTCTCTAAAATCAATAAAAACATATCCTCAGATGAGCATTAAAAAAACAAAGAAAAATATATGCAAGTAACTCAATAACTCAAATTGTAAAGTTCTGCTAGCATAGCCAGAATTTTTACTTACTTGTGACCCATTTCATGAGCAATTGTAAATGCAAGATTCAGACCATTGTCTTCAGCAATAATACATTTCCTCTTTTCACTACACATTCCACTCAAATAAGCTATACCTAGAAAACACAAACATTAATGATCATATGTCAGAATTAAGATGCAAATACTTATGCTAGGTACTAAAAGAAGAAACAAAAAGTGAAGAAAAAAAATATGTCAATGTTAAAATATAATATCTAGCCTTTATAAGTGGAATTTTAGGGGGAAATGCAAATATGTCACTCATAAACTGTTAGTATTCTTTTGAATTTCACATTTTAAATGAAATTATTTAACCAATTATTCAACTCTCAAAAGGCATACTATAAAAATACATCTATAATGACCACTTTCCGTTGTAATTTAAGATAAATGAATGGTAGCAACTTAGAAATGTAAACAAAAAAGCAATGATTATGCTAAATATTTTTCAGTTCTTGTGAAGAACCTAGTCTCAACGAAATATCATAAAATAAAATAAACTACATATAGGATATTCTTGTACTTACGTTTATATTTTGAGTTAATAAATTCTGATATTTAATGCTGTGGAGTACTATTTTAATTAATATGACAAAAACTATCTGTGGCCCTAGCCCGTTTGGCTCAGCAGATAAGAGCGTCAGTAAATAGAGGACTTAAGGCTCCTGGATTCTATTCAGGCCAAGGGCACAGACCCAAGTGTGGGCTCGATCACCAGCAGGGCACATGAGGAGGCAGCTAACCAATGATTCTATCTCATCATTGATCTCTCTCTCTCTCTCTCTCTCTCTCTCTCTCTCTCTCTCTCTTCCTTCCTCTCTAGAATCAATATATATATATATATATTTTTTTTAAACTATCTGTGATATTTGGAAAATTTATAATGTTTCCTCAAAAATTTCTTGGCTAATAAGATGATCCAACTGAAGAGTATATAATACTGAACTATTATTTAAGAAAAGATACTTGGTCTTTGGTTTAAATTATCAGTAAAGATGATAATATCTTAAATCATTTATAATTCTGTAGTCAAAGATTTATGTGCTATTTTACCAACTCAGATATATCCCTGAATAAATATCATTTAACACAAGAGACTGAAACACTCTAAATGTAAATATTACTGCAATTTTCACAAAATTATTTAACAAGAACGATTGAAATATTATCTAGCTTTATTGAATTCATTATATACTCTCTAATTTTCATATCCTTTTATAATAGAACTTGCTTAACCTATGCTAGATAAGTTAAGAAGTAAGGTCAAATGGAGCCTGATGATTTGGAGAACAGAATCCAGTTGTCAGGAGAATGAATACCTCAATGAAAAAGAACATTGAGAAAGAACAGACACTTTCCAAAAAAGTATTGGGCATTGTGATAAGAGGGTGGGATTTAGAGGTTGAGGATTTCAGAGGTGAAGTTTCATGACATAATTAGGTGTTGCCACAAGAGTAAAGACGGGTAGTAGAGACCATCAATATTGGGGTCAAAGAATTATTAAGTAGTGTTGGGTGGACTGATTACACGAACATGATCACACTGAATTCAGGAAGGTGGAAAGGTGGCCAGCATCCATAGGATATGGCCAAGAATCAGTGAGATTAATCTCAGGGACAGTGAGGGATAAGATTATAAAACTCAACAGCTTCTGCTTCACACGAAGAGCTTTCACCTGCGGACAGGAAAGATTTTATAGGAGTAGGAAGCAAGAAGCACGGAAGAAGAATGCAAAAGATATACAACGTTGGTATCTGCCTGGCATCAGCCTGTGGTGAAGGAGAAGAGAAAGAATGAACAGTGACCTCACTAGATTCCTCCACAGGTTTGTGTGGCTGTGGGAAATGTTATGCTGATAAAGGTTATAATTTATAATGTGCAAGATATATATTTATACTATAAAATATGAATTGATATAAGATACAATTCAAAAGTGATGAGTACAGATAGATATAGGAGTATGATTATACCTAAGTATTAAAAACTATACCATCACATTTTAATAGAACAAAGAGATTACAAAAGTATGCTAACTAGCTAATAGAAATTAGATTAGGTGGAGAGATTATATGTAATTTTCCTCCTCTTTACCCATTTTTCCACATTTATGTAAATATCTATAAATAGTTTATTAATGACAAAATTAAAGACATAAATGTGATAATATGTCAATGAAATTTGGATACTAATAAAATCTCTTAGAGACCAGAGTGTAATTTAACAATTAAAAATGACCCTCTACCATTATTCTTCTTTTATGTTAAGTCTGAATCTTTAAGACTCTGATAAATTTTAATGTCATTGTTCTTATATTTGGCATACCAAGACTTTGTTTAACTTCAAAATTATGGAGAATGAGTGAAACCATGACTAATTTAAATGACTTGCATTATTCTGTTTAAAAGCTCTGCCTTTCAGTCCCTTTCCAAAACCCACATGTTTCCTGTTATAATAAAGGGTAGAGGTTAGAAGAAGAAGGGATCCAATGTAGCTGTTATTTAAAGATAGATGTAATACAGACCCTTTTTAATGCACTCTTTTAATATTAAAAAAAAAACTGGAAATATATAGGAAATCAAAAATAGCCTTGAATTTCATACCTAAAAATTAATCAAGTCATGCAGGAATCTACAGTATCCCTTGTTTGAAAACTAGTGCACTATCCTAGGATATGCTATGATATGCCTGATCAAGATAACCAAACCCCTAAAACTATGCAGGATGCATGTGACGATAATGACGATAATTGGGAAATCAGTTTTTATGTGATCAGATGGATACATCCTAACAAAAGTCAGTCAGTCATCCAGGTCCAGAACTGTTGCTTTTAATCACTAGCTAGACTATCTGAGTTCAAAATCCTTGCTCTTCTAGCAGTTTTAGATAAGTTATTTGCCCTGTGACTGCACAGTATGAGTTATTTACCTCTGAGTTCTATTACTTGAGGCCTAAAGGAACAGGTAATGGAATATGAACAGGTGCTGAAGGTACAAAGACTAATACATGCTAACCGTGTCTTCAGAAGCATGAGCCAGAACAATACTCATTCTAAAATGTGATCAAAACATACAGATCAAGACGTACATAGGATACTATGAGGGAATGAAAAGAGACATGTGAAATAGAAAAAAATCAAAGTGCTTTTGGAAAAGAGAACAGGCCCAGACAGTGTGGTTCAACGGTTGAGCGTTGACCTAAGAATCAGGAGGTCAGGGTTCGCTTCTCAGTCAGGGCACACGCATGGGTTGCGGGCTCGATCCCCAGTGTGAGGCATGCAGGAGGCAGCCGATCAATTATTGTGTCTCATCATTGATGTTTCTACCTCTCTCTCCTTCCCTCTCTGAAATCAATAAAAATATATTTTTAAAAAGAAAGAAAACAGCTAGTTGTTATCACAGAATGGGCAGAGAATAGCCAGGGAAAGGCAGTGGAAACTGGGAGTGGGGGCGATTCCTGAACAAAAGACTGAACAGGAAAAAGGGTGAGGAAATGCTTATAAGAGTTGATGTCACCCAGAGAGGAGCAGCTTAGGTTCCTTTAAGGTGCAAGCCATGTAATGCATCTCTGCATCAACACTGGATTTAGCACATTCTCAATAGTGTTAAAGGAATTACATAGATTAAATCTTCTGAAACAAAGATTAATACAAGATGTGATTTAATGCAGGGCCTTAAGAAGGTACTTTTGAAGAATCAAAATTTATTTCATCCACTAATTTAAAGAATATATAGAATTATTAATGATGGTGCCCAGACAATATGAAAACCATTTACATGATTACATTCAATTTGGATTTTAAGCATATTTTAAAATAACTTGCCTTACTAGTTTGTTAATTATCTGTCTTTGTTCCATTAAAACACAAGATGATGATCTAGTAATATAAAAGTACAATTATAAAAGTTATGAGTTTATTATCATATAGTTATAGATTTTAAAAACAGGCTTCCAGTTTCTTTTTCATGTTTGACAAATCTATAACATTCTTAACAGTACAATTTCTATGAACATTAAGAAAAATGACTTCTAACAAAAAGAAACATTAGTTTAATAAATAATACAGTGAATTTCTGTAGACAAATAATGCAGAATATTTTGTACACATTAAAATGTTATTTATGTGTTCCTGCATCATGGTAGATTAAGCACCCTTTTGTGTGATATATAAAAAGTTTAATGCATGGTAAGATTGAAGAAAAAGAATTCCCAAGTATAAGAATAAAGCTTAAAATCTCAAAATATGGAGTATTAAGATCATGAATGACTGATGTCACAACGTGGGTGTCAGATAAGATACCAGTCTTATTAACTAACGGTGTGTTTCAAAATATCTGCAGGGAGGAGTATTAGTGAGTAGGAAATGAGATCCATGCGCAAATATTAAGCCATGACTATAATGTACAACTTGATCATATTATACACTGAAATGTCACTATTATGACATACTTTATCATCCCAACAAACAGAATATTCACCCTGAAGACGAGTTCACAGATAAAAATTACAAACCAAGTGAAGAAAGTGGTCCACAGAGAGAGGAAAGCCACTGACATAAAACACTAGAGAAAAATTATAGTAAAATAAAGACATTTTAACATAATAAGGGAACTTCAAATCCATATTCACTGGGTCACCACAATCCAAGTGCATCTTGTTGCTAATGGGAGAAAGAAACCCTTCCTCATTATATCAAAATACTGGGATAAAGAAATGTGAAAGAAATTTCTTCAAGCAGAAGGAAAAATCCCTGACTAAAACATGGAGATGAATAATACTAAACAGAGTAAGTAAATGTGTAACTATCAACAAATATTAAATATATGAAACACTACTTTTAATGTCTTAAAATTTAAAATATAGTCAACTAAAATACATGTGACCATTTATTATGAGGGATAGAGTTCAAGAGTTCACAAGTTCTAATGATACCAGGAGAGAGGTGAAAGATACAAGTCATACCATCCTAAATAATAAGAGGCTAATATGCAAATTGACTGAATGGCAGAACAACCGAACAACCGATCGCTATGCCGTGTGCTGACCACCAGGGGGCATACACGGAACATGGCAGGAGTCGGCCATGGCGGGATGGTAG